TCGGCTTTACAAATACGGCCTTTCAGCACTTCAGGGAAGAAGATTTTAAGGCTGTGTTTGCTAAACGGCCAAAACCTTAAAAAAAACTACTAAAGGTGGTTGTTCTTGCAAAAACGACATTCCGGCGCCCTTTTGGGGACATTCAACTATTTTAGACAAGAATGACATCACATTCTTATTTACAATCAAAACAAAATTTTTTGTTTTTTTTGGGCTATTTTTACAAAAATGAAGTTGGACCCGATGGGGGTTGCCTACGTATCCCACATCCGGTGAGAATCAAACTAGCGTAATTCGGGAACACCAAAAATAAAGTAAATAAACTAACTCTTTTTTTTTAGAATATTTTAATTTCAGCAAGAAAGACTTATAAAGAAGAAAGAAAATATTTTTGATTTCAATTTTTTTTTTTGGAAATTTCGAAAGAAGAAAGATTTTTTTTTAATTTAGACTTTTACTGTTTTTTTTTTTTTTGGAATTTCGATAGAAAAAAAAAACTTCTAAAGAAGAAAGAAAAATATTTTTGGAATTTTATTTTGAATTTATGAAAGAAATGCTTCTAAAAAAATGAAATATTTTTGAATTTTGAATTTTCTTTTCAATTTTGAAAGAAGAATGAAAATATTTTTGGATTTTTGGAAGAAATTAAAAGAAAATATTTTTGTATATATATATATATTTTTTTAAAATAATTAGGGTCTAAAGAAGCAGTAAAAGAAAATATTTTTGTATATATTTATTTTTTAAAAAAATAATTAGTTTCTAAAGAAGCAAGTAATGGAAAATATTTTTTTTGGATTTTTTGAAAATTGGGGTTTAAAAAAAGACTTTTCTAGAGAGGAAGTAAAGGAAAATAGTTTTGGATTTTTGAAAATTATGGGCCGGAACCGATGAGGTTTGCCTACATATCTCACATCCGATGAGAATCAGACCCGCGTAGTTCGCCAGTTTTGACAGAACATGGCAGTTGAAAATTTTGGCTCATTTGGAGATGACTTCTTTTTTTTTTTCCGGAATTTCGGCAGAGTTTCAGAATTTTCTAAATACCTACCTCTCACTCCTATATTATTATTATTTTTTTGATTTTTTGATTTTCTTCCTATGTTCTAGAAGCCGGTCAACATGCAAGACGAAACAAACAGATACGCAAGTAGCACGTAAGATGCATCAGGATGGTCTTTTTCATTTGGGTACACCTGTCCTAGACAGACCCAACCCCTGTGTTGAGTCTCCAAGGTCAAATGCACATGATGCAAACAAACGTTCCTACTAGGGATCCGGCATGAGGCTTGTTATACTAGGTTTAAAAACCTGGGTTTATTGTTCTAGACCTGGCTCACCCGAGCAGACAGCTCGAGTTGAGGGGGGGCAGCGTACCGGGAATACAGAAGCTTCACCGGCTTTGCAACTTGTCCGAACCTCGTTTTAAAATTGGGATAAGACTCTAACAGAAAAGAAGTCACACGAAGTGCACACTTCCCAAGTGATTTAGAAGACTCAGAGAGAGGAGGGTTTCGTAGCAATTTATATACAGTCCACAAATATCAAAGCGGTAAAAGCGGCATTTAGCACATTAGGCTCAACATGTAAAAATTTGATAAAACAAGCCAACTATAACAGTTATTCTAAGCTCGAATTCTTGAACCCTGAACCGAAGTTCTGGGTTTGGATCCCCAGCAGAGTCGCC